AGCTGAGAGGCCCTCCGCTCTTTAGCATGTGTCTTCCTTCTTGATGAGGAAGAGGCCCTTGGCCTCGCAGTGCACCCTGGGCCGCCCGTCGCTGCAGGCGAGCGGGTCAGAGAGCGACGCCTCCACCCAGACCTTGCGCCCCTCCCTCCGCACGATCGTGGCCTCCACTCGCAGCCACGCGCCGACCGCGACCGGCGCGCGGAGCGAGGTATCGATCTGAACCGTGAAGCCCGACCACGGCTCGCAGGTGCCAGAGGCGCAGAAGCCGCACCAGCCAATCACGTCGTCCATGAGAGCGCACATCGTCCCTCCGTGGCACAGCCCTCTATGTGACTCCGCCGCCGGGCCAAAGTGAGCGGCGCCTACCAGCCGCGGGCCTCCGCCCGGGGAGTCGAGCAGGTACCCAGGGATGTGCACCGGTGCGGTCTGCGCGTGAACAAAGTCAGACCCGGTCCAACCATTCTCCCGCCGCCACTCGGGCCCGTTCTCCCACTCGGCGACTCGGAGCGGCGCGGCACCGTCCGCTGCGGCCATGTCCGTCCACCACACGGGCGGCGAGTCGCGCCCCGGGTGTTGTTGCGTCATCGCAGGAGGAGCGTCCACTGGCTTTGGGCCCGGCCCGGGGCAGCTGGGGGGGGGGGAAGCGGTTTTTCTGCAGTGTGACACCCAAAAGGTGTTGGACAACGGTGACACGAGGGCTGGGGGTGTGAAGGGCATAACCATGGTTGCGTGCAGACAATGGAGATAGAGCAGCCCCGGAGCGGAGGCCCGCCCGGGGTATTCAGTGTGTCGCGGGCGCCTAATCGGGATTAATTCCGTCGGGCGCCTACGAATTTACGTTTGCCGTCGGTGTTTCGCAAGCGCGCCTGGCGGCGGCTTGTGCTATGCCTGCTTTGGAGCCCGACGGGAACGCGGGAGCTATGGTCTGGGACATGGGCTGGCCTTCGTGGGGCCGAGGCTTTGCCTCGTGGCCCGCAGTCGGTGCCCTTTGCCTCGTGTTGATGCAAGGCTTTCCGGGGCTAGTTGGCAACAACCTCACCATGGAGTCAGACCAACTCAGCCTACCCATTACGGTTGGCGGGGCCTCCGGCTGCGTCATGAGCGCAGCTCTCACCGCCACCAGCCCCTCCAAGTACCCCAGGGCGATTCTCGAGTTCGTCCTGCCCGCGCTCATTGTGACCACGGCCTACGTTCTGTTGCTGACAGGTGGGGGTGAGCACCACACCACGGGCGACAAGAAGGGGGGGTCGCGACCCTCGACCACCAGGGGCAGCGACTACCTGTCCCTGCTCATCCCACGGTATGTGGGCCAATCGCGCCGGGCATTTATCGGGAGCCTCTTGTTCTTCCTCACGTTCCTGGTTGCAGCAGCAGATGCTGTGTGCCCGACGTGCGGCGGCAACCTCGCGTCGTGCGACTACGACACCTCCCATACTTGCCCCGCCGCCACTGTCGTGGCTAACAACGCGAAAGTGCTCCTCGGCACGGCGGCGGTGAGCACCATGACCATCGCGAACCTGCTCCGACCACGGTTCCTGCGGGTCCTGGGAGGGGGAATGCTGCAGCGCTTTGTATGCCGGGCCTCGAGGAGGTCTCGGACTTTGCCATCAATGCGATGGAATAGTGGTTCTTCGTGTCACCGAGGTTCGAGGGGCGTCCCAAGTTTGCGTGCAACGTTGGGACTTGCTTTCAGCTTGGGCGTCTTCCTCTGCAGCTTGGTGAGTGCGAATTTCCGCAGTGTGTGCGTCTTCTCGCTTTGATAACACGCGGATGGTCCAAACCTTTACAGCTCAGCCCCTCGCATGTTACTGCAGTGTGACACCCAAAAGGTGTTGGACAACGGTGACACGAGGGCTGGGGGTGTGAAGGGCATAACCATGGTTGCGTGCAGACAATGGAGATAGAGCAGCCCCGGAGCGGAGGCCCGCCCGGGGTATTCAGTGTGTCGCGGGCGCCTAATCGGGATTAATTCCGTCGGGCGCCTACGAATTTACGTTTGCCGTCGGTGTTTCGCAAGCGCGCCTGGCGGCGGCTTGTGCTATGCCTGCTTTGGAGCCCGACGGGAACGCGGGAGCTATGGTCTCCCACCCTCCTCCCCTATAGCCTCTCACAGTCTGGCGACAGTGGGGGGTGAGTGCGAATTTCCGCAGTGTGTGCGTCTTCTCGCTTTGATAACACGCGGATGGTCCAAACCTTTACAGCTCAGCCCCTCGCATGTTACTTTGTTCAAACTCCGGTTTCTCTTTTGCCTCGATGATTTCCTTCATCATATGAGGACTGGGTTGGGACGACGGGGATGGGGTCGACCAACTAAGGCGGGGCTTCCCTACGTACGCTACGTTGCGACTGCATGTATTCCCACAGCTGCAACCCACACGCTCGTGGCTGTTTCCTTTTCAGCTGTGGGATCGCTTGTCATTGTATTCATACATCGGCTTTCTCTTTTTTGCCCTCCTTCCTCTCTGCATGCCCCTCACCCGCGCGCTCGCGGAATGTGGTTTTGCGAGGCGTGCTCCGTCAGCGTGCCGCGGAATCCCGGCGCGCTGAGGCAGCACCTCGAGGGGAAGCGGCACGCAGCGATGCGCTTCTACGGCGACCCAACGGCGGCCGTCCGGCGCATCGAGCTGCGCAATCCGGGCCCGTCCCAGTCTCTCGAACTGGCGCTTCGGCCGCATGAGGTGAGCGACGCGGCCGCCGCCGCGACGTGCGAGGCTCGCGCGCTCGTGCGCAAGAGGCTAGTGGTGCACACGGGCGTCGCCTACCAGAACCAGGCGTGGGCGCTCCTCACGCCGGAAGCGCTCTGCGGGGGGGTTCTGCAGCTCGAAGCGGCGATCTCCGCCCGGGCCGTTCCTTGTGTGGAGTGCCTCGACCGCGCCCAGTGTGCCTGCGACACCTTCGAGGCGCACTGCGCGCGGCTGCTGTCCGGATGCGCCCCTGCGTCGCCGCTCTTTCTGCTCGCTCTGGCGCAGCGCCTCGGCGGCGGCGGCGGCGGCGGCCGCGGTGGAGGCGGTGGCGATCGGGGCGGCGGCGGTGGCGGGCGCCCCTCCGTCAGGCCGGCTCGCCCTTCCTCCAGCGCCGGGCCAAGCTTGGCTGCTCGGGTCGCAGCCCTGCCGCACTGCAGCCGGGAGACGTCGGGCGGCGCAGGAGAGAGGCTCGTGGTCGCCGTCGCGGCTCGGAGTGGCGTCCTTGCCGAGATGGTCCTGGTGACTGCCCTCGATGCTCTCTGCGCCGCACTGCCACGCGCAGCGCACAGCGTGCCGTTGCGGCGCCCTTCGGCCGCCTCGCTAGGCGGCGGCGGCGGCGTTCCTCCCCCGGGCGGGCGCCTCGACCTCACGCTGCGGCTGGGCGGCGCCGTCTGCTCGCGCCGCCACGCTGCCCAGCTGCTAAAGACGCTCGGAGGCGCGCTCCGCGCGGCCAGCACGCCGCTCGGCGTGCGGCGCGTGCGGCTCGAGGTGCGCGGCGACGCGTGGCGAGAGGAGGACGGGAGGGCGCTCGCCGCGGCGGCGGCGGCGCACTGGTGGGCGACGGCCCGGAGCGTGCTGCTCGGGACGCACGAGCGGGTCGGGGCGGCGAGCCCGCTGCGCAGGCTGCCGCTCGCGTTGGTGCGCTTGATCCTCGAGGCAGCGCGGCCGCAGTGTGAGGTTGCCGCCGAGCTGGTGGCGGAGGCCGGGCCGGCGCCGAGTGAGCCGCGCGCTGGTGCGGGCGGCGCGGACCTCGACTTTGTGGCCTCGCTCGTCGGCTGAGTCAGGTGGTGTTCGTGCTGGGGCGTCACATCGGACTGGTGATTCCGGAACTGTGCTGTACTTTACCTCTTTTTATTAGAGGCGACGCAGTGTTGTCGATTCACTCGATTGAAGATTTTGAAAACACATTTGATAAAAAATCTAAAAAAAATCTGTGTGAGTGTGCAACAAGATCAGGCAGAGAAGGCGAGACGGCGGCGAGGCCGCGGTCGAAGAAGTATAAGAGGGGAAGGCGGGCTCCGCGCAGCCCGGCAGCCGACGCCGGACCATCCGGAAAGCGAACAGGAGGGAGGACCACCGGGAGGAGAGGGGCGAGCCCCCTCGGATGGGGGGTGGGGGGATCGGGCGGAGGAGCCCTGAGTGGCGATGTCGGGTGAGAGCGTACGTCATGCTCGTGTCTGGTGTTTACTAGCTCCGAGTAGAGGGCGTTCCGCCGCTAGGCGGGACACCCAAAGCGCAGAACCAACCCTCGGAGACTGCTGCTGCTGCTGCTGTTACGTCTTCGGTCCCCGCGGGAAGCCCCGCGCATAGGACAACAACGTCTGTCCCACACACACACAGACGCGCACATACATCATGCTCGGGCACACCCCACAGTGTAGTGGTGTGAGTACACAAGTACTAGCACTCTGCTTGGCCAAAGTACAGGTTTCGATCCGGGCCACCGCAAATTTTGATCAGCAAATTTCGAGGGGCGGCCGCAAATTTTGAGGTAGATTTTGATTGTCGAAACGTGTCCGTCTTGGCACAGGATAGAGCGCATATAGGCGGCGAACACCCAGGGGCGCAGGGACATCGCGACTCTGCCCGCTCGCTCGACCCTTTTGCCGCGAGAGGGCGCCGGCCGCGTGTAAGAGGTGGCTGGCGCCCTGAGGCGGCAATTGGTGGCGTGGGGAGTGCGGAACGCTACTGGCGGCGCGACAGGGCCTCTCTCGATTGCGTGTGCCGCCCATCGGCACGCGGGTGCGCAGACATCGCGACTCTGCCCGCTCGCTCGACCCTTTTGCCGCGAGAGGGCGCCGGCCGCGTGTAAGAGGTGGCTGGCGGCCTGGCGCCCTGAGGCGGCATTTGGTGGGGTCAGCGTGCGGTGCTGAGTCTTACTCGTCGGCGCTGGGGCCAGATCCCAGCGCAGAACCCTGCAACGCTGGCATATACAAACACAACAAGACTAACCCTGACCCTAACCCTAACCCTAACCCTAACCCTAACCCTCTAACCCTAATAACCGCCTAACCTAACCCACCCCCACAACTCCACACCGCAAATTTGAAAGATTTTGATGAAAATCAGGCCCGACTGCAAATTTCTTCAAAATTTTCGCAGGCGCTCCGCGCCTGCAGATTTTGAAATAAATTCGAGAGACGCCCGCGTCCCACGGCTCTTGTTTCTGTCATGGAATTGTTTCTGTCATGTACGTAATGCGCTATGCGGGGCCCGTTGTGGGACGGGACGCTCGCCACACGCGCGCCAACACCTTCCTTGTCTCCAAGCGAACCAAGCCGCCGCCGCGCCGCGGCCCGGCGCCCGATGTGACCAGCCGGCGCGCGGGTGTACGCACTGCCAGCTCACACCAGACACTCGCCACAGCGAGACAGCGCGGCCACATGCATTCAAACGTAAGAAGTAGAGTACTGCGCTTTCCGCACCGGAAAGGGCGGGAGGGCCTCCCTCCCAGCGCTCACTCGATCACCTCCACCTCCTCGTCGTCGTCGTCCTCGTCGTCCTCCTCCTCCTCCTCCTTTTGCGGCAGCGGCGGCGGGGCGGCGGCGGTCTGAGACGCCTTGCCCTGCCGGCGCCGCTTGCTGAGCGGCGCGTCCTCGTCGTCGTCGTCGTCGTCGTCGTCCTCCTCCTTCTTGGTTGGCGGCTGGGCGGCCTCTGCGGACGGGCTGCCGGGCGCGGGCGCGAAGGCCTCCATCTCGCGCGCGTGGCGGGCGCGGTCCCGCTTCGAGGCCTCCACCCACGGCGCCTTTGCCTCGTCGGAGAGGGACCTCCACCTGTTCACAGCTCGGCGCCTGAAGTACCGCCCTCCTCACCCGCACCAGTTCTGGTCGCAGAGGGGGCGTCCACTTTGCGCCGAGCGCCTTGCCCGCCTCGCCAAAGGAGAGCGGCGCGTACTCGGCCGCCTGCCGCTCCTCCTTGCACCAGAGCGTGTACGCCGAGGCCACCCCCTTCGGCGCGCCAGCCGCTTTCTTGGCCCGTTTTCCCGCCGGCTTGCCCTCCGGCTTGGCCGCAGACTTGGCCGCGGGCTTTGGCAGCGCCGCCGCCTCGCTGCCGCCCGCCTCCGCCTCGCCTCCGGACCGCGCCGCCGCGGCGCGTGGCTTCGTCGCCGGCGTCCCGACGGGCACCTGCCGGCGGGACGGGACTCGAGGGCGACTTGAGGGCGCGGCGCGGCGGGGCGGGGCGGCGAGTGACGGGGCGTGCAAAGCTGGGGCGTGCCTCGCGAGAGGAGATGTCTCGCCCTTCGAGGGCGTCGACCGCCCACTGCCGGTGCTCCGCCTCGAGCTCGTCCAGCCCGCCGATCGTGGCGGCCGTCACCGAGACGCCCTCGACGGACAGGTACCGCGTGAGCAGCGCCGCAGCATTCGCCGGCTTGTAGATCTGCTGCGCCTGGCGAGGAGGGGCGGCGCCGCTCGTCCTGCTTCCTTTGGCGAGTGTGCCGCCGCGTCCCCTCTTCACGCGCGCAGCTGTGAGCGCTGCCAGCGGACGGGCGCGGCGGTGCCACGAAGCGGCGGCGGCAGGGCAAGGGCCCGAGCTAAGGCGGAGGGCGGGCGCGCCTTTGCGACGACTTCTCCGCCGCACGAGGTCTTCATCATCCGCATCAGCAGGCGCGGCTCGCCTTTGCCGATCAGAGCGCCATCGCGGTCCGCGTTGCACCGCGCGCGGCCCGTAGGCGCGTACTCGATGCGCATGTTGAGCGCGAAACACTGCGGGTGCATCCACTGACGGATGCGGCGGCAGAAACGCGTGAGCGTGAGGGGGCGTGCGGAGGCGTTTCGCCGCAGGGAGCCGGGTTCGAGGGCGGGCGCGTGAGGGCGGAGACGGGATGGCGGGGTGGAGGGCGACGCGCCTTCATGCAAGACACGCCGCTCGAGCGCCCAACCATGCCGACGCGATTCTCGCCCTTCCCGATCGACTCGCCGCAGGTCTGGCACGAGGACCGTCCAGAGGTGGCGACGACGACTTCGGGGTGGTCCTGCTGGCTCAGTCCCGACATGTCGCCTCGGTGGTCGGCAGGACGCTCTCTCTGGTCGTTGGAGCGAGAGGAAGAGAAATCGAGATCGTAGAGTCGTAGAGCACTTATTGCTCTGTGTCTTGATTTGCGAACAATATCGGTTGTTTTTCTCGTTTGTGGGGAAGCTTCTCGGCCCGCTCCGTCGGCCCCCGGCAATGCTCCGCGCTGTAGTTGGTAGAAGGCCGTCGGCAATGCTCAGCGCACCGGTCCTACTGTCGAGCCTTCTGCTGCTGCGCGGGTCGGAGGCCTTCTCGCCCGTGGCGGCCAGAGCAGGCGGCGTCGGGAGCCCGTGCCGCGCTGCTGTACGCCTCGGTTTCTTTGACGTGTTCCAAGAGTCGGCCGAGTCCAAGGCGCGCAAGGAGGCGGAGTGGGAGGCGCAGCAAGCCATGCTTGCGCGGCGCCGCAATCCCGAGGCGATGGAGGCGTACCAGAGCGAGGTGGAGGAGCGCCGCGCGGAGATTTCATCCAAGGACGCAGAGCTGAAGGAGCTGCAAAAAACGGGAGACATCGAGGCCTGGGAGGCGCTGCGAGCGGAGGGCAAGCTGCAGGGCTCGGACGAGCTCGAGCGCGAGGCCGGCGAGCGCTCGTGGGGCGGCGAGGGCCTCGTGGCCGAGCGGATAGACACCCGGCTTCCCTTTGTCGACTCGGGGTACGTGGACGAGTCGGCCCCGTCCCTGCCCGACATGCCCGACCTGCTCGGCGGGCTCAAGGGGCTCTTTGGAGGCGGCGAGGAGAAGAGCGAGCAACAGTGAGATGATGGAGGCGCGGCAGTCCCGTTTTGTGGCGGTAGAGTCCATGTTTCCCATCTGAATCTAGAGTATGACACATGACTATGTCCCGGGGCCCTCTCCGCCGTCTCTCTCTCTTTGTAGAGAGAGATTTTTTAGCAATACCAAACAACTCTAACACTCACACGTCAGTTGGGGCCTTTTGTTTTTGTTGCCTCGCCCGGAAGCGGACCCACCGTGCGAGTTGCAGCCCCGGAGGTGGCCGACCCAGCTCGCCCCCAGAGAGGCCATGCCCAGGGTCAGGCATAAAAGGGGGGTGTTTTTCCGCCCGTCCATTCTCTCTCTCTCTCTGTTAGACCTAAAGGTCGGCGCTTCGACCAACTAGGCCACCTTTTGCGCAAAAGGTGGCCTAGTTGGTCGAAGCGCCGGCAAAAGGTGGCCTAGTTGGGAGAGAGAGAGATTTTTAGATCTCTTCCCTCCTAGTTGGTCGAAGCGCCGACCTTTAGGTCTAACAAAAACAAACACTCTCTTCATGCAACAACCTGCTCCACGAGACCTGAGACCTCCCGCCTCCCCCACAGTCCCCCACCAAGTCGTACGCGCTGTCACACGAAGACTGCTGTCAGAGGAAAAAACAATAACAGTAAAACCGTTACAGGGTAAAAAAAGGCAAGGAGGTGGGCGAGGTGGGACTAAACAACGGCGTATCCACTACATCGTGCGGCCCTACACCTTGGAACCCCTGCTCGTTCACCACTGCCTTCACCTCCCTCTCCTGCTCCTGACGGAGCGATCGGTGCCATCGTATGGTCTCCAATCTCAGCGAGAGTGACCTCTATAGCTGGCTCCGTTCTCTCGACACTGAGTCGCGCGCTCGGTTGCTACGGTCGCTCTCCACGCTCGAGCAGCAGCAGCCCAGCGAGCAGCAGCCCAGCAGCAGCAGCGAGCCGCAGTTTGCGGCACAGCCAGCGTGCAGTCAGGACCTCCAGCTGGGAGCCGAGCCTCCGCCTCAAGCGGGCAGGCCGGCTGGCCCGCTGCAGCCGCCGCCACCGCCGCCGCT